GCGCCGCCACGCTGCAGAGGCAGCACATCTTCTTTCTCAGCTCGGAGTACGAGCGCACTCAGTGGATCGATTCCATACACGCCTTACAGGTGCCGCTCTTACAATTAATTTATGTATATAAACTGTTTTTTTAGTCTGTTGTAATCAAAGATATTTAAAAAAAATATATAAAAACCGTGCATAACACCTCTTTTAAGACAATTTTATGGTTCTCATTAACGCTATCTACCATGTCTGTCTAAATCATTGTATTTACATAAATTGCCAATATGTGTCACTAAATCATAAATAAATATTTATTTTGTGACAGTTTATTTTATTACAAAGAATTAGACTTACCAAACTACTACTGCATACTAAACAACTAACATATTACCTTTCAAAGAAGTTACCGGTTAAAAGATGTTTACTGTGTCTAGTCTATATAATTCATAAATGTCTTTGGTTGAAATGTCAATATGTTTTTTTTTTTTAAATAATTTATGTAGGCGTCGTCAGCGCCCCCTGGCGGGTCGAGCGCGATATCGATGCTGGAGCTGCAGGCGTGGGTGACGGCGTGCCGCAGCTACCTGCAGACGGACATGGGCTCGTACCTGCTGCGCAGCGGCCGCGACGACTCGCTGCTGCTCGGCGACCTGCAGCTGCACATCGGCGGCATGACCGCGCCCCTCGACACCGCCGCCGGTCAGTGAGCCCTGTACAATATACTGTGACAGAGTATCACGTCGTTTACTTCGACACATCATATCGTTGAAGTTCTAACACAGATATAAAACAAAGTTTGCAGTACATATGTGATAAGGTAATTCCCGAAAAATGTCCGGTACCTAAGGGATGCCACGCGGACGAAGTCGTGGGCTACAGCTAGTATAACTATAATTAAGTAAACACAAACAGTGTATTACTAAAGTATCTTTACAAAATATGAAGAAATAAAATATCGATGTGTTTTCGTTGTAAATGTGTAATATGTTATCAGATTACTACGTGGTTGTGGAGGTGGACTCTTACGGGCACTATTTCCGCAAGGCCAAGTCTAAGCTGGTGTGCCGCAGCGCGCAGCCGCGCTGGAACGAGACCTTCACGCTCGACCTTGAAGGCTCCCAGAACCTGCGTCTGCTGCTCTACGAGGATGCCGCCCGACCAGTGCTAAGAGGGAAATGCACGCTTAAGGTAATACGGTAGTACATTTATATAAGAACTTCTGTCATTATTTCATTAAGAATTAAAAATTATAGTAAGAAAGCTTTTGTGTTTAGGAGATTTTATTCTGTACCTGTGACAAATTTCATTGAAATCCGTCCAATCATTTTGGAGACACGTAGTGACAAACGTTAAAATACAAACTTTTGCATTTATAATATTAGTATGTTAATAATTGTTAATAATGTTAGTAATTGTATAAACGTTCGAAGTCGAACATGTTTATTGTAAAATTGTTTAAATGTATAAGTTTACTAAATGGATGTCGTATTGCAGCTGTCGAAGGAGTGGGTGGCGGAGAGCGCGAGCGGGGGCGTGTCGCGCACGG